TGCCTCCTGCCCACGCGCGAGCAGAGCGGCCCGGGGCCCAGCCGCCTGCCTGCCTCTCACGTCTCTCTTTGTGCTGTTGTTTGTCGCCCCGCCCGGCCGCCCCCGCACCCCAGGGCCCAGGTCGCGCAAACCAAAGAAGAAGAACCCCAACAAAGAGGACAAGCGGCCCCGCACCGCCTTCACGGCCGAGCAGCTGCAGAGACTCAAAGCCGAGTTCCAGACCAACAGATACTTGACGGAGCAGCGGCGGCAGAGCCTGGCCCAGGAACTCAGCCTCAACGAGTCCCAGATCAAGATCTGGTTTCAGAACAAGCGGGCCAAGATCAAGAAGGCCACGGGCAGCAAGAACACGCTGGCGGTGCACCTGATGGCGCAGGGACTCTACAACCACTCCACCACGGCGAAAGACGGCAAGTCCGACAGCGAGTAGGGCCGGGCGGGGCGGGCGCTGGGCGGCCGAGCTCATCCCATGCAATAATTTAAAGAGAGAATAAAGCAGGACAAACAACCCGTGTGTACAGACGAGACCAGCATCCGTAGCGGAGGGGCGCGGGGCTCTCAGAGCCCTGCGGTAGCCTGTGTAGAGGAGTCACAGGTAAGGGGCTGCTCCAAATCCCACAGATCTGACTACAACGTTATTATTATTTTGCGGGATTTCCTCCCCCCCTCCCCCCGGTGGGTTTCGGGTGGCTGCAGCTGGAGACGCTGTCTCGATGGGGGGGTTTTTTGGTTGTTTTTTTTTTTTTAAACTGCTTAAGTGACATTTTTTTTATAGACTTAAGCGCTGTTTTCATGGACCTTGGACGCTGTTTTTTGGAAATTAAAAAAAAAAAAGAAAAAAGAAAAAAAAAACAACTTTTGCTGAAGTCCAAAGATTTTTATTGCTGCATTTCACACGACTGTGAACCGAATAAATAGTTCTCCTATTTGTTCTCTCTCTATTTTTTTTAATTATTATTATTCTAATTATTTTATGTTGTGAGTGCGTGCGTGTGTGGGCGCGGGTGGTCGGCGTTGGGGGGGAGGCATTAATTTAATATTATTAATTATTATTATTATTATTATTATTATTTTAAAACAAAGCAGTACCGACAGGGAAAGCAACCCCAGGGCGCCCGCTGGACAGAAGGGGCCGGGCTCCCCGCTCTGTGCGGAGCTGGGCTGCGGGGTGGCAGGCAGGGCAGCCAGGGCTCGGGAGATGGAGGACAGGAGCTGGCCCTCCGGTATTTTCCCCCCTTCCCGGAGCTTGTTTGGCAAACTTTGGAGGTAAACAGCACAACTTCCGGGACCGCGTCCTAGGAAGTGAAAAAACCAGGAGCCCCTTTGCAGCCCGAAGGAGGCTCTTCTTTGTGAGGCCGGGCTGTGCCCGCAGCCCCTCTCCTGCCAGCCCGGCGGCTCCTGTGCGCTCCCCCCCGGACCTGGTTGTCTGTAGCTGGAGCCTGGGGTGATTTGTGCCTCGGACACAAGCACCAGGCAGGCCGCTGTGCAACGCTGCTGGCAGCTGGAGCGGGGCCGCTTTGGGGACAGGGCTGAGCTGCAGCGCGTCCGGGGAAGAAGACGCCTCGCAGGCATAGCTAGAGCCCCTGCTGCCCGGCTGCGTGGGGATTAGGGCTGCGGGGAAAGCCAAGCGGGCAGCACGACCAGCTTCTGTTATGCAGGGAGGGGAGCTCTCTCATGTCCACTTCGGGTTAGAAAAACAGAGGAGCCCACCAAAAGCAGGGAGGGATTTTATTTTTGGGGTTGGGGGGGGAGGGGGAGGAGGATCAGTAGGCTAATTATTATCCAACGACAAAAATAAATCCATCAGTTCAGAATAGGGAGCAGGTTTCAAATCAGTGGTATCTATCTATAACACCGAACAGCAACTATGAAGGGACAGTCAGTGTAAATAAAACATTTCTTGGCATTTTTGTTCGCTTGTTTTCCCTTCAGTTGTAGCTTTCTGATTTGAAATCGTGATACCATGTAAATGAAAGATTTTCGAGATTTATAATTTTTTATTATTTTTTTTTACAAAAAGAAAAAATAGTTTCTCCCAGTTTCAGACTTTTTTTTCCCCCCGGGTTTGGAATAAAGTGTCCAAAATGTTGGCCAGGGGCACAAGCGCACTCCGGAGTGGCTGTGTGTTGTATAATAATTCAGGACTGTAGTCTCCTTGATGATTGAGGGTGAACTTCTCGCTTTGCCTTAAACCTCTTTATTTCACAGCTATAATAGATACACATTGTACATATTAGTATAAACTTAAAAAAGAAGCAAAATTATAAAATAAAAGCTGTAATTTTAAATTCTGTGAATAATCATCAGCTGCTTAGGAGACAGGATCAAATGACATTGCCTTTTAGCAAGAGAGCAAAGATTTTTTTTTTTCAGTTTATAAAACGTGCATTTTACAATGGCAGTATCAAATATTTATAATCTTATGAAATATGAATGTTTCTATTTACAACTGTGGTCTCAAAATTGTGAACATTCTCACTGCATTTTGTGTGTTTAAATTCTTGAAGATTGCATTAAATAAAAACACTTTATTACGAAATACTCAATGTGTGGCTCGAACTGTTGGCATGGAGTCGTAGCTGTAATATTTAGTCTCTCCAGCTTATTTCTGATTCAGGATCAAATTGTACGGGAGCCCGAGTTAAAAATACGAAGTGGGGTCAAACAGATTTCGATGGTGGGGGTGGCAGTTTGGGAGACTGCCCATTTTTCTGACAAACTCGTCATAGTTGGGTTTTTTTATTTAATTTTTTTTTGAATCACGAAGCAACTTGTTGATTTCTTGATAAATAAAATGACCCCTAAACGGTGCCCATGAGAACAAGGTTAGGGTGGCAGGGTTTAAGATTTGAAAAAAGGAGCACGTGTTTCATCACGCACATTGTCAACAGGTTTCACCCGTTCAGACTTCAGACTCGTCTGTCTGATACTTTGGAAAACAGATCTTGTCCACTGCAGGTGTCAACTCGAAAATTGTACAAACTCCCAAATCTGAATCTAAATGAGACAAATCAGAAGAATAATGTCAGTATCCTATTTTTTTGCCTTTAAAAAAAAAAGAGACCTAACAATCCTAACCGAGCAGTGTGTTCCCTTTATTATCACTTGTTAAGTTTCTGGAAAAAAAAAAAAAAGATAAAAAAAGAAGCCAAGATTTTAGAGCAGTCTCAGGAAAGCAAACTAACAAACAAACAAAATGATTTACTTTCCTGCAACAATAGACACAATGTCGCCAAAATATTTAAGCCTGTTTTTCCTCAACTGGGCTGTATCATAGGGAAGAATAAGGTGGGGAGAGGGGGGCTCCTGCCCAGGATCCTGTTATCAGAGCTTGTTCCTGCGGCGAGAAATTTAAAACTAAATAAATACAAACTCGCAAACCCCCTGCTCCAGTGGAAATAGTCTCCCGCAGGCAAAACTCTCTCTTGATTTAGAGACTGGCTAGGAGAAAAATATTCCCTTATTCCAGGAACCTTGTTTTCTAGTACAACATTAGGGGTTTTTTTTTCAAAAATAAGGAAGATTTTGAACGGCATGCACATGATTATAAAAGAGGCAGATTAAGCGAACGCTTTCAGTGAGAAAATAGTGTTCTCAATACTGTGTCTTGCAAAACTCGTGGGTGTGCGTGACAGGAGTTTCCCCACCGAAACTAGCCTGGCAGGTGAAGGACGATCTTGGGGGGTAGTTCCTTGCTGTGTGGCGTCAAAACCCTGTCCTTAGGCTGGGGTTTAGATCTGCGCTGGAAACAACCGCAGTGGTGCGAGGTGAAGGGGTGGCGCGTCTGCTGCCTCCTGCCAGCGAGCCCTGCACCGGGGCAGCTCTGCACAGGCATTTCTTATGGACTCAGTGATGCTGCACCGGAGGAAATGTGGCCACCCCTTAATGATGCAATCGGGCAAGCTGTACACCTGTTTTACACCAGTGGTACCAGGGGTCTCTTTTACAAACCAGATTCATGAAACTGCAGTGTCATCCTTTACGTATTTAGGTTTTCTTTCCAGGAGAAAATCTCAGGACAACTTGGCTAACTTCATATTTCGTGCTGGATTCCCGTTAGGACGTTCCCAGAGATATCAGCGGTATGAGGAATAGAGAAAAAATGACTTGTCGCCAGTTGGATTTTATCCAAACTAAATTGCAAGTGATCCGCAGTGAGCAATAACTGTTTCTGTAACAGAGACCAGAGGCTAGACCAGTTTTACTCCACCCCCACACTTTGTTTGTAAAAGCTTGAATGAAAAGCTAGATGGGTCAAAATGCCTGATTTACTCCCCTTTTTACATTTTTTTCCACTGATCGGTACTTTCAGGGCACTTACAAACGAGGACTTCAAACCACACCACGCGGCTCCCCGCTGCTTCCTGGCCGTGGAGCACTACAAAGTTACTTCCCGTGCTTTTGACGTTTAAAATTAATTGTGCAGAAATAGCTTCCTCACACAACCTCGCCCTCATAGCAGATAACAAATACATACACCGCGTTACATGGAAAACCTGGTCCTCAAACTCTCTGGGGCTACCTGTGCATATTTTATAACGCGTGCGAGCGTACACACGAGCAGCGGGGAGCGGGGAGGTGTACAGATGTCGGTGGAAGGTGCCCGGTGCTCATGCTCGCTCCGGGCATAACACACCCCAACTGTGGTGCGTGTCACTGCAGTGTCCATCGCCAACATGTGTGCGGGCATGCACGGGTCAAAAACGACCTTTGGGGCACGCCTCAATTCACTATTCCAGCTTTGAGCCTGTTCCTTTTCCACTAATAAGGGATGGATACTTCTCGCAAAGGCAGAGGGATTAATAGCTTGTTTTAAATCAACAACGCAGCAGATCGCCACACACAATTGTATAAGAAAGTGTTGCAGAATCGCACGTAAAAGACATCCGCAACTGATGTGGCAGGAAGCATCTAATCGCATGCAGTTAACTGTATTTTTGCTTAGGAAGCCTCTAAGAGAGAGAGGGAAGTCTAAACCCCACGATTTGCTCAACGTATTTAACTCTGTAGTATATTTTAATGCGTTATAGCACACATGCGATACACAAACATACATCCAGGCACTGTATATGCAAATGTCCTTGTCGCTGATTGTGTAATGCATATCCGAGTTACAGGAAGAAACTGTTTAGCCAGCTCGGGTTTGTGGCAAAAAAGTAATTCTGCATCCCGCTGATTTAATATCCGACCTCAGCATTCAATCCCCGCCCATGCAGCTATCAGAAGTGCCCCTGGGATGTTTGGAGATCGTCTCCAAACGAACATCTGTGCTTATGAAACGCTCGGAAGAGGAAGGTGGACACGAGTTTGCAGCTTCAGGAGCACGCTGCGGCTGCCTGAAACACAGCACAACCAAACAAAGTTGCGCTGAGCAGAGCCGAGGTGAGGAGCTGCCGCTGGGACCCGCGGGCTGCACTCCTGCCGGGACACGTCGGGACAAGCGCAAGCCCGGCCCGGACGAGCTGGGGCGGGAGAGCGCGGGGCTCCCCGGGCCGCCCGCCCGCCCGCCCGGGGACAGCGGGGCGCTGGAGCAGGGAGGGAAGGAGGGAGGGGGGGAGGGAGAGTTTTCCCAACACTTCGGGGAGCCGAGGCGAGCACAATGCCTTGGCCGGAAGCGCCCACCTCTCCCCGGGTGAATCCAGCACATTTTTGGCTCCTAAGCTCCCTCCGCAACTTGAAGGGAGGCAGTCTGGTGAAGTTCACGTTATTCAGCCCCAGACACGCTCCAGCGCACATTTGGTACCGCTGGCAGCTGAGGGTGCATCCAGCGCGGGGGACCTCGGCGGAGCAAAGAGCAGCCGTCCCTCCCCTGACAGCCGGAGATGAACTGCCCGAGATAGTCCGAGGGCGAGAGAAATGCACCCCCTCGACCCAGGCACCGGCACAGCCCCCAGCGTGCGTGTCCCCTGCACGGCTCGTCCCGCCACA